CCCCAAAACCCCAAAACCCCAAAACCCCAAAACCCCATCAACGAGTAAGAAAAGTAATGTGAAAAAATTAGGATGTGTTTGTGTTCAATATAATAGATACTTTGTTCAATTCTTCATTTTTTTATTTCTAGCAAGCTATTTGAGTTTTTCAAATTCCAACAAATCTTGCTAGTGCTCCTTAAGCTCAAGAGGATCCTAAAAATCAAATTATAAAGTAGAAAAATTCTTACTGGTTGAGGTCCGATCCATCTAAGAACCAAGGGTAAGAAGCAGAGTCCATTGAATAGACCCAAGAGAATAATGAAGAGATACATTCTGAAGTAGTAAAGCTTGAAGATTGTAGATGGAGCGAAAGCCAATACAACAACTCCAATGAACTTGGTCGATGCGATACCAACAAGAACTGAACTTCCCATCTCGGAGAGAGCCTTCATAGCTCTAGTCTGTTTGTCACCAGGTTGTCTCATGAAGTTCATTCCGATATGGTTACAGAACTCAACACCAAATCCGAGTGAGGTAACCAAATTGACTACAAAGACTGCATTCATTTCAATAGGATAGCCGCCAAGAACTTCATTCAGCATCCACATGCATCCCATCAATTCGAAAAGAACTAAGAACACGCACAATCCGATAATGAGAGCAATTTGAAGTGATCCAAGAACTTAGAGTGCCAGGATGATTGCAGCAGTTCCAAGCATAGCATTCTGAGCAAGGACTCCTCTAATGTAGGTGTATTGATCGTAGAAAACATAAAACAAGGAGTAGGTAAAGGCGTTAGGTGCCTCAGTTTCAGATTCAACCAAACTTTGTTGCTTGAAACCCATTTTGTTTAAAAGTCTTTGAGTAAATGATAGGTCTTATTCATTTAAGAGTTTCTGACTATTGCCTGTAGAGTCTTTACGAGTACTCAATTATTTAGAGAATTGATCGGTAGCTCTTCTAGTCAAGATGAGATCTTTAATGAAATCAGTCTAATATCTGACAGGGGTATGAGAGAATCTAAATCTTGTTGCACTAACTTTTCCACTATCATCAAAATTGATGTCTGAAATGAATTACTCTCCGCAAATACCGTATTATTGGCAACACTTGCTTTGCACTTTAATTTGTACGAAAAGTTTAACTTGCTCATCAAAGTCTAGGATTTAGGCTTTATCGGTTCCGCACTCCTCAGACCAATCTCCTCCCTTGACAAATTGTTAGAATGGAGTTACCCATGAATAAACTGGAGAAATAACTGAGCCATTTAATTGAGCAAGCTGAACCTGCATCTCCGACAACTTTTCCAAATTGGTGGTATTTGTGTAATCAATGTTCTTGAAAACAAGATAGCCTGGAGGACCAGCAGCCCCATAATCGAAAAGTACATTGAAATAGTTAAAAGTATCAGAGTCCTCAACTAAAGATACATTTTGATTGAGACCTAATTCAAGTTTTAAGCAAGAGCAAACAGCAATGATAAACAAGCAAATTGCAATGCCGAATACAACGACTTATGTTAAGGGATAGAATAAGAAAGGAACAAAGAATTTTTCGAAAAGAGTTCTGATCCATTCCTTTCTTGGTTTCTTTTATTTGTCAATCTTCATACAGAATAGAATGTCAGCTCTATTATTTTAGATTCTTTTACCGTCAAGAGTGAGAGCAGCGATGAAAAGTGTTATTTAAAGGATGAAATCAGCAATTACTGATAAACCAGCTACCAAACAGAAAGAGTAGAGAGCTGGTACATCTGTAAGCATACCAATGAAGAAGGCAAGTGCTTCACAGAAAGCAGCAGCAAAGATTGAAGGTCCTATTTCCTTTAGGGCATAAGCAACTCTTAATTCCATTTGAGTAACATGCTCTGGAATACTTCTTTCAGCTCTTGAGATCAAGAACATATTATCAACACCAATAGCAAGAATCAAGAAAGGCACGACTTCAGCCGAAATCATAGTAAGAGGAATACCAGCATAGAAAGTTATACCAATAGCCATAATCAAGGCGAAAATGACTACGAAAATACCTGCAAAACCAAGTATGAATCTGTTATATACTGCTGATGGGAAGAATCCAATAGATACTGAAACATAGATGAACATCATTATGTATGAGATGATGATAATGTAAGCATTTTGAGTGCCCTCAAGTTCAATATTATCTGGAATTGATCTCTCAGCTAAAAATTCAATCTTAATTGGTATGAACACGAACTTCTCAGATTCATATTTTTCCTTAACTTCCTTTAGTTTGTTATAAAGAGTATTATTGTAGGACATGCCATCTAAGAGATCAGAATTGTATCCGAATAGTTTGTTGAAAGTCTTGATGTTTCCAATAAAGATCTATTTCTCCCACTCGTCTGCTGATTCGTATTGATATTGATTGTTATTCAACAAAAATGTTGCTTGTAAGGCGCTTGCTTGAACTCTGCAAAGTGAACAAGCTGACTGCTGTTCGCCTTGGCATGCTAATTTTCCGAAAATAGTATATTACATGACAGGAACACCAATTTTATCAAAACAAACTCTTTCCTTTGCGCCTGCGGGTGGAATACATTGAGTAGTAGCTTTGACATCAGGATCATTTAGAAGTTTATCTAAGTCAGTTTACCAGTACTGCATAGGTGATGTTACAATGCATCCTTTTCCAGTGATAGGCTTGTAGCAAAAATCATCGTGTTAAATTTGAATGTTTTTGAATTCTTGAGTTGCAGTCTCAATAGCGACCTAAAAATTTGATTAATATCCTGAATGTTATTAAATCAGATTATAGAGATTTAAGCATAAATCCATTTAAATCCAAGCTCATGGATTTCTTTGGCTTAATGCTTATTTCAATATAAATATCAATTTAAAGATCGAAATTTACCTGAACATGATAAAGAAGCTCGAGATAAGGTTTCTAGAAAATGTCATCATTGGCATTTTCATCTTTTTGAGGCGCCATGAAGAATGTATTGATTCTGAAGAAGGCTCCGAATTGTTCATTGAAAAAAGATTACTCAGTATTTGCTCTTGAAGATTGAGGAACCCACAAGTCTTGAGGGTTATTCTAAAATAATCATTAAAATAGCAAGAATTACTGTCAATTTATAGTTGATAAAACCAAGGGAGCAAGTCAGTGTCAACATAACTGCGAAAAAGCATGCTGTAATCGGATTGGAAGCTGAATAGAGCCCAATTTTAAAGAATATTTTATTAAGCAGACCCATTTCGATCGAGATCTAAACTTTATAATTATCTAATATATAATAATATACTTTTATATAAATCTAAACACATCTCACATCATCATTAAACATATATCTCAATCTATCCAATTTATGCATTACGGGGTTTTGGGGTTTTGGGGTATCTACGTTTTGGCAAGAA